GCAGGTCCTGGACAGCCTCGGCCCCGGAGGGCTCACAATCTTAAGTGACTTTACACTCTCAAGCTGTGAAACTGTGTGTAAGTAACTTAATTAAGGAAGAGGAACTGCCGGGAGTCGATTCCCTGGACAGGGCACTGTGAGGAGACTGGCTCCTTCCCAAAATATTCCTGTGTAGGAGATGCTTTGGGCTTTTTCTGTCAGCACTGCTGTCCCCTGGTAGTAAGAAGGAACATCTCTGTGCACAACAAGCCCTGACTATTTAGTATTTACCCCATCACAGGACCCTGTAAATAGCAGAGCCATTCCCAGCCCTGTGATAACCCAGAGTCCCTGTTAACCCGGGGTCGTGGGCTTCTCCCGCAGCCCGAGGGGACATCCTGCTCCCCACCCGCCTCCCCGTGCTGCCAGCATCCTGTCCCAACATTTGCTTATCCTTTGCTTTTTTATTTTTAAAAAATATGTGTTTCTTGAGCAGCTCAAGGCTTTGGGTAGATTTATGGATTCCCTTCCAGTGACCGTCACTCTTTCACCTTCCCCTGCCGAGGGCTCGACCCGCAGCACGTGACTGAGCAGAATCCAGACAAGGATGAACTTTCTCCGGATGCTGCAGTTTCTTTTTGCAGCCAAAATTCCCGTGCTCTGGCTCCGAGGATTTCTGCACGTGGACCCGTTCCCATGGGATGTGCTTTAGTGTGACTTTGATTGAAGAGGGAACGCACGTGAAGGGCTGTTGGAGATTTGCCAGCGGTTTAAGAAATACACCCAGGGGCCCTAAAAACCTGCCAGGAGATGCTCTAAAGGAAACTGGTATAATGGGAAGGGTCCCCTTCCTGCAAAACACAAACTGGGAATCCCATTTCCACTGCCACTGGTTGTGTTTGGAAGCAGCTGGGCCCAACCAAACCCAGTTTTAACTATCACTAATTTACTGCTGGGTTTGCAAAGTTGCTCTCAACGAGTCACTGATCTTGAATTGTTCTTCCCCTCAGGTCCGTGTCGTGCTCAGCCCCTCGGGGACACGTTGCCTTCATCTCTGTCAGATCAGGCATTGGGCCGTTTGCTGGGCATGGGGAAGGGGGGTTTGTGTCTCAGAGGAATGAGTTTCTTCTCTCCTGCTCAGGTGGCATCACGGCAGCGTTCACCGGGCACCTCTGTGGATCCGGGGGTGTGTGTGGAAGTGGATGTTGGGGTGGCAGAAAAACTTGTGAAGGGAAAGGCCAATGTGCCCCCAGCCCCACGTACC